AATGACGATTTTCTAAGGCCATAATTCCTTCTACATTTATTAGGTGGATTCTCCTGTGAGAAGGAAGTTTCCCATCTCCCCTTTTGTTTATTTCTTCATTGATTCATTGACATCTTCATGGACTCATGGAGTCTTACTTATTCTCTGAGGTATAATATTTTGCTGTTGTTATTCATTCGAAGGTCAAATGGTATGAGATTTGGCTGGTGGGAGCCCTAGAGCTGCCTCCTGTGGCCCCATGGTTCAGTGAGTATTTCTTTACCTTGTGGCTCAGCAAAGCTTTCCTGGCTCATCTTGTCATTTCTTGGACCCTGCCTTGCAATCAACCATTTTGATAAGTAATTTCAGGTTCTTTTAGAGGAGAATGGTGTTTAATAAGTGTTCTGGTTAACTAGTGCCACTCTGACAAGAATATATACCACAAATGGGATGCTTGAACAAACAGGAGTTCATTCTCTCACAGTGTGGAGGCTTTAAATCCAAGTTCAAAGTGCCAGGCCCTAGGGGCTGTGTGAAAGCCCTTTGACCTTGGGCTTTAGCTCTCCCTCTTGTTCCCAGCCCACTGAAGCTGGAGGCATCTCTTTACTCAAGCAGCTACTGGCTGCTGAAGATAACAAACCCAAGGTCAATAAATAAAATAGCAAGGTCTCAATGTTACCAAACCACATGGCAGGCCATTAATTCAAGTCCATTGTAAGTCCCAAAGTTGATGGAACATGGCAGGCTATTGAACAACAACAACAGCTACATGCCAGATCCACATGTGCCACAAGCTGGAGACCATTTCCAAAGCTGTTTCTTATATATGGGATGCAGACCACATACCCAAAGCTGCTCCAATAGATTCCACCATGGAGTTAATTACCAATCTCACCCTGGGGAATAACTACATTCAGCTGCCCAACCACTCAACCAGGCCCAGCCAAGCTGACACACAAATGTAACCACCACAATAAGCAAATTAATTATTAGATGTACTAAGTGCTGCTAAGACTTCTTAACCACCTCACCTAGTGGAGCTAGGAAATACATATATTATTAAATACATACATACACCATTAGGATAAGTGCTCATTGAGTACATTCCAAATCATGGTGATCCCACAGGTGTCAGAGTATATTGCATATGTTTTCTGTTTTTAATTTTACTTGTTTTGTTGTTGGGAATACACACAGCAAAATATATACCAATTCAACAGATTCTACATGTACAAGTCAGTAGCATTCATTACCTTCTTTGAGTTGTGTAACTATGCTTACCCTCCTTTTCTTAGTTATTCCTCCCCACTTTAACATAAACTCACTTCCCCATGAACTGCCTAATTTTTTGAGTTGTTGTTGTCAGTTTGATCCCGTACAGGTAGCTCTTAAAAAAGCATAATGCTCAAAAAAAACTAAACCACTGTTAAGCTAAACTATTATCTGGTCTTAAGAAGACTTCATGGTTTGGGGTTTTAATATTTAAAGATTATCTCAGGGATAATCAGTATAATGTCAGGGATTCATCTAGCCTCCATGACTCCAAAAAGTGTGGAGTCCATGAGAATCTGAAATTCAATTATGCATTTTCCTGCTTTGATCAGGGATCTTCTATATAATCTTTGATCAAAATTGTTCAGCAGTAATGGCTGGGCACCACCCAGTTCTTCTGATTGTATGGCAAAGGAGGCAGTTGTTCATTGGTGCAATTAGCCATGCAATCCATTTCCTCCTCTTATTGCTAACTCTCCTTTCCTGATGTCAAGTCAATTCTGACTCATAGTGACCCCTCCTTGGGTTTCTGAAGCAGTATCTCTACAGAAGTAGATTGCCCAGTCTTCCTTCTGAGCAGTGACTGGTGGGTTTGAACCACCAGCCTTCTGGTCAGCAGTCAAATGCCTTAGGCACTATGCCACCAGAGCTCCCTCCAGGCAAATAGAGACCAATCAGTGCCTAAAGCATTTGACTGCTAACCAAAAGACTTGTAGTTCAAACTCACCAGCCACTCCTTGGAAGGAAGTTTGAGCAATCTACTTCCATAGTGATACTGCCTCAGAAACCAAGGAGGGGTCACTATGAGTCAGATCTGACTCAATGGCAGTGAGTTAGGTTTGGTTTGGATTGTGCCTTGGATGACCCCTTGCAAGATTTTAAAGCACAGGCACTATGTAACAAACTAAGAGGTAGAACTGAAGCACTAAACTCATTGTTACGCCAATTAACTGAGATGTTCCATGAAATCATGGCCTTAAACGTCCAAATGAAACCAAATCTCATGAGATGTTTGGTTATATATAAACAGCTCCAGTAGCTACTCTTTCTATGGATTCGCTTTTTTGTTTTCCCCATTGTTGTTAGTATATGTGTGATAGTTGGAGCTGTGTGTCAACTTGGCTGGACCCCAGTTCTTTGTGGTTGTTCCCATGATGGGATCAGATGACTGTGTTCTGAGTGGCCAGTCTGCCCAAGGGGAGTTTCCCTAGGGGTG